TATCTATGATGTACATAAGTAACAAACCACACCCACTTCCAGTATAGTATTTCTCAAAGGTTTCATTTTCTTTACGAGTTTCTAAGAATAAGAATAAACTATAACATCTAATTACATCCATAATCTGTCCAATAGTTAGATTTTGAAACTACATTTAATAATAAGATAATTATAACAATAGGATAGATAAAATTTACATTGTGTACCTCATCAAGATCAAAGGACTGTTCCATTTCATGACGCTCATAATCATATTTAACTAAACGACATCTCTCAATAGGAATATGAGGAGCTAATTTCATTAACTGATAAAGAAATAAAAGAATAAGTAAATATATATATAGATCAACTTAAAATAAACCTCATAAGCTTTATCCAGTACTGTGGGTAGTAATTCATCTTTATGTACTTCAAGGAATGATTTCTTTAATTTACCAGTAACAGGATGATTACAATATAATATGATCTATACAATAAAAGTAAGTAGAGAGTATCATACTTAGTCTGTCTCACTCTTACTAAACACATTTCTTTTGCAATTTGTTCTTCCTTTTCTCTCTGTCTCTTCTCCTCAATTTCTTTCAAATGATCTATTGAAATATCAACAATCAAATGATTGATGACACACATCATCAATAAAACCTTCAATATCTTTCTTAATCTTCTCATTGTGTTCTCTTTCAGTCATTAGTTCCATATTCATTAATGTTATTCTTTCTTGTAATTTCTCTATTATTCTTTTATTATCTACTAATGGCTGATAGTCTGGTCTTGTCATTGCTTCAAGATGAAATTTGCAGTCATCAATTTCAAAAGACATTTCTCTTCTCACTTTGCTAGCAGCTTTAATCCATTATATAATTATTAATATAATTAATAAAACTACTCTAACCTGAATCAGTATTACTAGAAAGTGAAAGTAATCTCAAATAATCAACCTTAATTTTTGATAATTTGTCTGACAATTCTTTGTTTTCTTCTTTTATCTCATTAAACTGAGAGCTCAATACAGTCAACTCTTCATAAAGTGGTTCTTCCTATTAATAATTATTATAATTAATACAAACTAGTGAGATATACCTCAACTTCTTTAATTGATTCAGTATCACTTTGAACAGACAATGATTCTTCCTAATAATCAAAATATTACATTTATATAAACAACTCATGAATAATTCTCATTGATGGACTAATGAGGTATTAAAATTGTGTAAATCTTGGGGCCAAGAAGCCATGCACGCCTGTTTTCACAAATTTTGATTCAAAATTTTAAATTAACCATTATTACTATAATAGTAATAGAGAAAAGTCTGTGGGCTCTTCTTCGAAGAACAAGACCTTCCTCTTGCTCTTCTACACTGTGGATAGCCCACTAGAGTGATCTTCACTGGCGTCATCCAGCAGGTTTGACCCCATCGTCAGTCAAAGCAGTCCTAGGGTCATATCAGCGTGAGATTAGCTTCATTCAGTCACTTCTTTGCCTTTCTTCTTGCACCAAGCTGAGCAAACAGTAGTCCAATCTTCCATTGCTGCTCTATGAAATGCACAATCTGCCGCAATGCCCCTACACACTATGACACATGACAGTAGGACTCTTCACAATGTGGCCGCACAGCTATAATAGCATTTATGTTTATATCGGTTGAACACCTCCTAGTCGGTGTAAACCAC